AGACAGATAAATGAAGGGAAAGGTAAAAACAAAACTAAAAAAGTACCGGCAAAGCTCGAGAGAAATGGTCAAATGAAGGTATCTTCTGCTTGGGATAAGTGGGAATAATTCAGGGAATAAAGACCAGACTTTGTTCCACTTCCAGCCATTCCAGCACCTCCAGTGTGTTTCCTGCAGCTCCCGTTGCTGGTCCTGGATTAATTCAGTTTTTCCCCTCCCTGTGCAGGTTTTGGGGTGATTTTGGTTTAATTTCTGTTCGTGTCAGGGGTGAATTCCCTCTTGCTCCTTGATTTTCTGCTGTTTTCCTCCTAAATCCTGACCCTTTGGGTGTGGGAATGCTGTGGGAAGTGGCAGGAACTGGGTTTATTTGGTGAAAAAATGAAAAAAAAAAAAAGGAAATTTGGAAGTCTGGAAAAAAAAAAAAGTGGTGAAGGAGAGAAGAAATTTGGGAAAACGTGTTCTTGGGGAAGCCGGGCTGGCTTGGCTGCCTCCCAGCAACACAGGATTTGAGGAGAATTAAGAATTTTTATTCCTAATAGACCAAGTGGCTTTTTTAGAAGTGAAAACTGACCATGACAGGAAGCAGTGAGGGAAATATTCCTGTAAATCAGATTTATTTGGGAAGACTCAGAGTGAGGGCGGCTGTCCAGGGGGATTGAGTGTCTGGAAAAGCTTCACTCCAATTCTGGGTTCCYTCCTCCAGGCAAAGCTCCGTGTTTTGAGGCATTAACTTATGGAATTTAAGAATAACGGCGCTTTTTTTCCCTGTCTAGAAACGCAGCTTCTGTCCCTGCAAACCAGATTGTTCTGTGGGCAAGGCAAAAAAAAACAAAAAAAAAACCCAAACCTTAAAAAAAATGCTAAAACCTGCAGGGCTGATGTTTTACACGGAAATGCTCATTTTTCGTATGTTTTTGAGGCATTAACGGTGCTCACGCGGTTCTGTCGGCGTCAGCGTCTGACCAACAATTAAAAAGTGCCTGTTTGGACCTCGTTCTGTTGTTTTTTTTCCTCTGACACCAATTCTGCCGCATTTCACCCCAAAACAGCTGTTCTGGTGCT